AGTAGTGACGAACCTCGCTCTGGACACCCCAGCACTTCAATAACTGATGAAAGCTTTGAAGAAGTGAAACAAATGATTTTAAAAAACGTCGAATCACTATTAGAGAAGTGGCTGAAGACGTCGGCATCTCTATTGGCTCGTGCCATGCTTTTTTTCCCGAAGTTTAGGGCATGAAACGTGTAGCAGCAAAATTTGTTCCTAAACTGCTTAATTTTGAGCAAAAGGTCCGTCGAAGGAGCATCGCTCAAGAACTGTTCAACGACGTCAATGACGATCCGGACATACTCAAAAAGATCATAACTGGTGACGAATCATGGCTTATAACGTCGAAACGAAAGCCCAGTCGCCCCAATGGAGGAACCCAGAATCGCCAAGACCGAAAAAGGCACGTCAAGTTCGATCAAATATCACGATTTTGCTTAATGTTTTCTTTGATTATCGTGGCGTAGTACATCAAGAGTTCTTACCAGAAGGTCGTACGGTCAATAAAGAAAGAGTATTACCTCGAAGTTATGCGCCGTTAGCGAGAAGCAACGAAGAAAATGTCCAGAATTGGGGGAAAACAATGGATTTTCCATCACGATAATGCACCTGTTCACTCATCGTTGTTTGTGTCTAACTTTGTTACCTTATTTCCCGGATATACCCTCCTGCGACTATTTCGTGTTGCCAAAACTCCATGAAAGCAAAGAGCTTTGGAATGATTGAGGAGATAAAGAAAAAATCGTTAAATGAACTTAAGGCTATACCAGAAATTGCTTCGAGGAGTGGAAAAAACGTGGGCGCAAGTGTAGTATATGGGGGGGGGGAATACTTTGATGCGGACAAAGTTAATGTTGATAAATAAGTAAATTCTTTTTGATAAAACTTAATAGTCACCTTACATTTTCGAACACACCTCGTGTATTATAAATCAAGTGTGGTAAACGGCATTTCATTCTCGAGTTTATTTGGCACTAGCGGATCTCCAAGGAGCGAGTGTTTAATAAACGAGCGACTTAAAAAGTTTACGAATATTTTTATTGAGATTTCCCGAATCACTAAGAATCATATTCGGGTATTCCTTGAGAGGTAAATTGGATATCGCAAACGCATAGTAATTTATTACAAAACACATATTATTTTGATCGATTTTGACTAGTCAATTAAGAAGTGGTCAATTGACCAGCCCCAACAGTAATGTTAACACTTCCGGTGAGGTTAATTTATAATTAAATTGATAAATAATAAAACTTTACTATGGTGTGGATGGTACGACGCTGAGTGGTTTCAAAAAAATTGTACCCAATGCTTTCAGAATCGCATTTGATGCAATCCAATTTAACATTAGTTGCTTATTCGGAGTTCCGAGAGCCTTGTTAATTTCCATAAATTATATTAAAGTATACGCCGATCGTGTGTTGTTTCGTAGTATTTATGTGTTCAGTACAAATATAGATTTTTTTTCACATATCATTTTGAATAATATTATCTTGGACATTCTTGGGTCAACTACATAAGTAGATACAACAGAGATAATGAGGCGAACAACATTAATAATAATTGTCGGTCTCGTCATCGGCGGGTCAATTAAAATCTTATACTTTACACGTCCCTGCACGGCTCGAAGTAACAACCCTAGAGTTTTTAAAGAAATAAGCATGGCGTGGTCAAATCCAGGTATACAAGATGCGATCGAAAGGCTAGGCGACAAAATCAAATTTTTTTAGACATAAGCAAACCGAATGGCGGCCAGGTTTATTTTAATAAAACGGATAACGTGCGCACGGAGGATAACGCAACAGGTCGACGGTCTCCCCGATCGCGTTGCACCAGACGAGAGAAGTCGCGTTTACGAACGAATGGTCCGGGGCAGCATCTTCGTAGCCTGGGGTATTCCGCGTAGCTCGGTAGCCCGACCGGTAGGCAGAAAGGGTCACGCGGCCACTCACTCCGTCTCTCTCGCGCCTCTCGCCGAACAACGATACGTTGTCTTCGTCGGTCGCAAACTCCCTTCCCCGTGTGTCGGCCATCGAACGGCCAGGGATGTCGCAGTCGCGGCCAGAATAAAAACGTTTAGGACTTATAATATATGGACGGAGGCTATACTATACTAAATATTAGTAAGAGGCAGCGTTATTCAGTTTCGCTATGTTCGAGGACATCACGTGACTATCGGCAACAATGCACAGCCGTTCATTTAAAATACAGTTTCGTTTGAAATTTCAAAAGTGTTATTGGACATTTGTTACGTGCTAGCTCAGGAGTTGTTTGAACATGAGACTCTTAACACTTTTATCCAAGTCGATAATGCACACACTATAGAAGTCAGTCTTGACTAGATGGTATTTTTTTATTATTGTAGTTATCACAGATAAGTAAACTAACTCAGGTGCTTCTTTTTAAAGTAATTAACTAATGAAAAGGTATCGACGCCAATTTGCAAGTTGTAAACCGATAGCTCCAATTCGTTAATGTAGTCAAATCGGGATATCACAAAAGAAAATTTCACTATCTCAGTCCAAGGTACTGAACCCGTCCTCGTTGAAAAGCTTTTGGTAAAATATCTGGCTAGCCCCTTCATGTATATATTGCATCATATCATCACGCTAACAGCAACTCCAACATGTACTTGCCGGCAAGGGAGTATTAGCCATTTTTTGATATATTAACATACATTAATTTGTCATGAGAAAAAGAATATGCGCCTATCGTAATAATTGAGTAACTTGCATTCGCCTTATTTTTACGAACGCCGACAATTATAATCATTCTTCTAAATTTAAACAGTTTTTCTTGAATATCTCAAAAATTTCCGAATGCCATAAAATGGTAGAAAACTTACCGACGATGTCGTTTGGGGTTTTCGAGGGTCAGTCAAGTGAAATCGAAGTAACGTCGAATGCCAAAAATAATGAGCTTAACAGGTCGCTGTGGATTTGGAGTGCCCGAAACAAACTCAAAATATCCCGACGGACAAATTTCACATTGGAAAATTCAGGATGTCCAACAGCGCCTTCTTGACACCTTAACCACTAGTTAAACCGTGGTTCCACCAATAACCTTCACCTTGCCTACTGATAACTGACCATTACAAATACGAACTATGCAAATCTAGCGACATGTCAGACAACTTGATGTTTCGGAAGATGAAATTAATTATAAAATAAAAATTGATGATTATATACACTCGGCTGCAAAAGATGCGAGGTGAGTTGAAAACTCGACTTTATATAAAACATGACTAGATTTTTATTTTCTTTTGTTGTGATTTTAGATTTAGAACTGGGAAACAATTACGAATATAGTTGATCCGTACCCTGTTTAAAACCAATCCATTGCAGTATGATTAACATTTCCATGGATAACCAAATCCAAGTAGTATTATTCCAATTTTTTAAAAGAAATTAACATTGATTAATTATTTGGTGGGAATGAAAAATAAACCAATAGGATATTTTTAAACAAAACAACAAACTTAACCTACTAAATATCATGCAGTGTTGAATTAATGATATTGATACTTTTTCAACAAATATCGGTTGGAATGGACATTTGGCAAAAGTATATCGATTTCGAAATACAACTGTAACACATTTTTTAAATTTCAAATTTATAAATGTTGCTCCAAATGACAGATTTGAAAACAGTGACGTAATTTTCGATTTAACAAAATTTGAGGAATTTGATTTAGTATATTTCATAGTTCCTTACCCAACATATTGCAGATACTAATACTTCAATGAAAGGTTTCTAAGACAGACGAAGAGGGTTGCCGATCTTATTTCATCACGCAAATAAGGGCCAAATGTCTTTAGGAGAGAAATTAATATTGCGTGTTAAAAAAGCCCTAATAAGGAAAACTTATACTTCGATAAGTATATTTTTAAAGCTTGATAGCTTCACACAGGTTATGCCAAAAGTGTATTTAGTACTTGAACAAACTCCGTTTCGGAACATATTCAGCAAATGAATGGAACTATATCTTCAAAATATACGCCACATTTTTTGCCCCTAACGTGATTCAAAATATCCTCTTCGTTTTCTTTAAACTGAACTAAACTGCTGATTTAAATAAATTCATAACATAAGAATGAATCAAGTAAGTATTTCCTTGCCATTGTGTAATGGATTTTAGTGTATCAGAAGTATTTCAAATATAAAACACACAAAAAAAATTCTACGTGTACTCTTCGCTGCTCATCTTTTGATGTTGCCTATGTTGAGAGCTATTGGTAGGAGACTTTCTAGTACTCTGTTTTTTCTGAAGATTTTACCCTACCACCAAATTCATTTTCTTCATCTGTAGATTTAAAAAACAATCCACAAGGTAGCACACCATGATTTACCGATTCCCTTCAGACTTCTTTCTACTTTTGTACTGGTGTGTTAAGCAAGTGATTCACGATGATAATTAACATTATAAAAGCAATACTAAATCAGAAGATCTCAAAAAGTTGATTTCATATATTATCATTAATCATACAAATCATACTTAATTTCAATTATTCACATTCACAAAGATGCTAAAACTTCCAAGTTTACATATAAAACAATATAATAAAACCATGATAATCAGCAGATTTTCGCTATCTCTCTTGTATTTCTGTTTACGCTCCATCAATTAATTACTTTATTAAAATTGTAGTGGTTAATTGTTGCGCGTAGGACTTGCACTGATTTTTTTTTTCAGAAAACTGACCAAAACTGACGGGGCGGAGAAAAAGTTAAGTGGGTCGCAGCTTACAAAAAAAAAAACATATCGCATATGTTGTTGTCACCGGACGAACGTCGTCATAGTAGGCGTAAAAATATCTCAGTAAAAACACGTTTCACATTCGTATTATAAACACACTCGGATTTATTCTTGCGAGGTTCCTTTTTTTTTCTTATCCGCCGATCGGGATAAAAATAGTTTTAGTAATTTTTTATTAAGTTTAGAGCGATATCGAGTGTTGGAAAACGATCTACCTTTGCGCGTTTTGAGCGACAAATCATTTTGATTCCGTTTTTTTTTGCAGAGCTCGGCAGTGTTTCGATTTCCACCGGTGGATTTTCTGAGGCGCAAGAGTGTGCGTGCAGCTTTCACCGAAAAGTGTCAGTAATGTGAAACTGCGGGTAAGAGTCCTTGTTCGAAATTTTGTTTTTGGAGTTGAGTTCCCCGTGAACCGTTACCTTAATTTGGATAATTTAAAAAAAGTATATTGATTTATCAGACATTTTTATGCAGATTCGAACAAATACGGGGTGAATCATAAAAAAAAATCAAAATAAATAAGAACTAAAAGTTCAGATTTTCACGAAATTATATATTATGACATGATAATTGTTTCGACAACACCGTGTCTTTATCAAATTTGATAAAGACACGGTGTTGACGAAACAATTGTCATGTCATAATATATAATTTCGTGAAACTCTGAACTTTTAGTTCTTATTTATTTTGATAAATGGATTTTCATCAAGTAAAAGCCACCTCAGTTCAATTTATAAAAAAATATATTTACAAATTAGCAACAAGTGTTAAGTTTGTAGGAAATTGTTGTAGAATGGGATCAAATTTTTCCCGAAGTGTGATACGCAGATTGGGAATGAATGAGCGATAAATGCGTTTCTGATCTTGGTCCGAGAGGTGCTCAAGTACATTAAGATCGGGACTGCCAACTGACCTAACCATTCATTCAATACCCCACATCATCTTGCATTAAATGTAAAGCTGTCTCCGATAAAATATTAAATAAAAATATTAAATCTGCACCATACCAGAACCAACCCCTCACGAAGCGCGTTCTGAAATTGTACAGTGCTCAATAATCCAATAAGCAAGTAGACACAAATTGGCGATGTCTTGGAAGCATCTGAGCTCTTGTAGCAGGCTTCCTTGAAAACAACCTTTAAGTCTTTGTCGGATTGTACTCTCACTGACTCCTACTTACGTTTTCCAGCGGATGTTGATTCTGAACAGCTGTAATCCTATGATTTCGTAAAGCATTTAGGACAATAAAGCGGAAATCAACTCCATAGTCTGTACCAACACCTCAAATGGAGTTTGCCATCTACATACAACATACAAATAGGACACAACAAATGTTACGTCCTGGACAGTTCTTCAAGAATTTTGGCATTTTTAAAACCGTTGAAAAGTTCCTGATGTCACTGTCAGTGTTAATCAGTGTTACACTCAAATCCGTTTCTGAATTCGCCGTACCGCCTGAATTATTTACACGAAGTTTGTGCCTACGAGGCGTTCACGCGTTGAAGCAGTGTATCTCCAATAAAAACGAAACGTGCAGAACATATCATGCTCCAATTTGCTTCCAGTTGACAATAAGTGTCACCGTAGTTGCATTCTAGAGGCCGTTCTGAATTTTGGGAAAAATTATCTCATTGCTGCACCCGGTATATTCTTAAGTTCAAGTACAAGTACAATAATGCGTTTCACAATAACTGTTGGGCTCGACTGCTGGGATCATTTACCGATTGCCGACTTCCGTCGAGGATCTTCGCTTTTGGTCATAGACCAACACGTACAAAGAAGAAATATAACCAATATTTGCTCAACTAGCAAAAAACAATTTTGACCGATACCAAAAAAAAACCGACATCCCCCCGCTTCCACCCCGGACCATCCACATTAAAACATTCACTAAACACTAAAAACACTAAATCCACCCAGTGGAAACAGATTTCAAAATTTTTGGGGATTACAAGGGATTCTGTAGGGAGTGAGTGAACGGAGGTTAAACCGGCGCGTGCACAGAATCCCCTATTCTTAAGTTGAAATCTTAATAAAGATGTTTGACATATCTTCTTTACTGAAGAAGGAGGAGTCTTGAAATTGGGTCAGTTTTTTTTTAGTAACCGGTAAGTATATCTGCCGCCATTTCCCATACATAAACGTTGAGACACGTTTTTTCCGTTTGTCGACACGGAAAAGCGTATCGGAAATATAATATTTCCGTATCTGTATAGACGACCACCGACACGACACTGCAGTTTCGATTTCCCGTCGTCTACGCCATGTGAAGTTTCAATTCGATCGAAGCATTTGACCCGTCGTACGCAGTCATCGTTTTGCTTACTAAAAAAGATGAGCTTGCAAACGGCTCGCGTTCACTCTTTTAGCGGCCCGTGTGAAGAAAAAAGAGGATATGGAAGTGTTGAAAGATTAGGCGAAGACATATTTGGTTCCGTTTAGTAACTTTTAATTTTGCATGTTGGCTAGCAGAATCTATTAAAATGCTCTCTGGTAGATTTGGTTTTTGTTTATGTTTACGTTAGTACAGCTTTTTTTTTTTATAAAACCGCTACATCAGTTTCAAGCGTTTTCCCGGTTTTCCTTGATTGCGTGTTATTCGTTCTTAAATGGCTATTATTACTTGTGTTCATATAACTGAAAGACGATAGCCACGGAACTAAAATTTATAGGCTATAGAGTCTGCATATTTCGGAGAATCTTTAAGACGGACATTCCAGTAATCCGATTGCTCTAAAAGCTGGACATTTTGTAAGTTTTACTACCTCGGAAAACCCGACATTAAAATACTTTGTAGGGAAGCCAGAAAAGTTTTCCCGTCTTAACAAAAGCCGCACAAGTTTACAAAGAAAAATAGGGGTAACATAACAAATTTTGTCTCAAAATAATATCAAAGTGCGTAGTTGATCTACATTTGATGCGCAAGGCGGTAAGCGATCAGAAAGGTCGAGAATCCCGAAGTCGAGGCTGCCTTATACAATTGGTTTCTACCACAACGACTTGTCCATGTAATAATTGATTTAAATCTATTTCGTGATCGCTACAGCTTGGCCGTAAAGGCCGTAAAGTCTATTGTATATTAAAATGAAAAAATCAACTAATTACACATTTGGTGTTTTCGTGAAGGACTTTTTCAACGGTCTCCCTGGACATTTCATCGGAGGTCCCACTTGACCTGCTGTGTTTCTTTAAAAACGGTACACTTTTTCCACTGATAGTGGAGAATTATTGAAACATCTTTATTACTAATCTAATAATACTGTGAACACCGCTGGTTAACATCCAATACTGATTCGTTAAACTAAACTTGCTTAATTTATTAATTTCTGAGTGACTAAAGTCCCGTCATAAAGGCATAATGAGGAAAGGAATAATGAGGAGCAATATATCAGGTGAGTGGTCAAAAATGACAACAAAATGGTTTTGGATTTACAATAGGGTTCAAAAATAATGATGATTATGATTTCATACATTCAGAAATAGCCTATAACTTAATTTTTCAAAGAAACTTCCACAGGCCACTGAAATACTTTTTGCAAAGCATCTGGATTCCTCCTGCGTCGGTTTTTGCTGAGTCGAAATTGCTGACGTTTCGCCAATCATCCTGTTGGCTTCTTCAGAGCTTGACTGAAAACTTTTCTAACAGGATGTTTGGCGAAACGTCAGCAATTTCGACTCAGCAAAAACCGACGCAGGAGGAATCCAGAAGTTTTGTAAGAGGTAGCCTATAACTTACTTAAACATACCTAACCTCGCCAGAAATAGTCTCGCGTTTCGACGACGATTGCGTCAAATAGTTTTTATATTACGTTTACGTATTTATTGCCTCGTATACGAAAACGCCGTGTTCTATGTCGAAACGTGACTTCCGCTCCGTCGTAACCTTGCCCGGGCGAACGAAAAATATTTTTAAAGCGGTCGACTCGGTGATTACATATAAAAAAGTCGGGCCAAGAGGAAGACGCGAGTTAGATTTCACCGCGATGGAAGCGGTTCGAACGGCCGTCGACGGGAGACAGAACTTTCCAGTATCAGTTTCAGGACACTGCAAAATGTTGTGTGTATCTTATTTTTCAATTTCCGAGACGCGAAAATAGGCGAGAATGTTAAAGCACTTCGGCGGTAAAATTTGTAATAGCGCCCATATGATTTTTTCAAAACACCAACACGGAATCGATTTACATCATGGTTCATCAAAGAAACCAATTTCTGTTCATTTATTCAGAGTAAGAAGGCAAATTGGCGGATCCCAGCCACGGTGTCCTATTCTAATCACTAAGGTTGTCGCGGCTCTTGCAAAGAAAGTACTTTAAAAGCGTTTACACGATATCCATCCCGGTCAAATCCAGTTCATCTTCAACCGTGTCCTTTAATTCCGATCAGTCAACATACCTAACCCTACCATCCAGGATGTCTTATCAGCAAGCAAAACGACTGCCGGTTCTGCCGGCATGCATTCCAAGTTTTATCCTGAGAGGCTGTTCCTACGCACTGTGTGCTCCTTTAGTCACATTTTTAACCTGGTACATGAAAATGAGTGTTTATCCAGAACCTTGGAAAATTGCCAAACTTTATTCTCAAAAAAGGTGATCCTTCCGCAGTTGAAAATTATAGACCTATTTCGATCTTATGCAATTTTTCGAAAACATTGTAGATCATATTACATAAATTTATCTTTGCTCAAATTCGAAATAAACTCCCTACGCAACAACATGGTTTTTATGCGAGAAGATCATGTATCATGTATACGTTTTCTGTCTTCTTATGTGTGTGACTTCCTGGACAAGCAAGGTAAAGTTGGTGTTATATACACTGACTTAAACCAAGCGTTTGACCAGATAGATCATCACAGATTGAAAGATCGCCTCAAAAATTTGGTTTCTCCGATATGCTGATTTCAGTGTTGGCCAGTCTCGTGCACCGTCGATAGTTCGTTGAGATTGAGGGCTTTAGATCAGCTCATTTTGTTCCAAGGTCTGGTGTACCTCATGGTTCTAACCTTGGACAACTTGTGTTCAATATATTCATAGATGATCTCATATCTTTGATCATCTGCTGCAAGTTTGCCTATGCGGAAGACCTAAAACTATATCACTGCATCAGAATTAGTACGGAGTGAACGACTCTCCAGGCCAACATCAATATTGTCGGTCAGTGGTGTACTAAAAATAAATTGCATCCAAACATCAACAAGTGTAATGTGGTTTCTTACCACTGCACAAAAACTCCTATAGTCCTTCATTATAGTATGGATAGTCTATCCTGACTAGACTTGTCAGTGTAACGGATCGGTCTGTGGATTTTATTTGACCAGATGTTATCTTTTGTATGACAGATTACTAAACCGGTTTCCAGTGCAATGCAAATTTTAGGGTTCGTAATAAGAAATTGCAGGCATTGTTGTAGCTCAGTTGCTATTAAAATATTATGTACTGTTACGTTAGGTTCTAGCTTGACTATGGCTGCTTAGTATCGTTACCAATATAACTGCCACGCTCAGTCTATTGCGAGTGTGCAGAGAAGGTAACTGAAGTACTTAATGTTGCTGTTATTGATTATCATCTTCTACTGACAAGATTCGTTGTACTGCATCTGAGCTTACGCAGAGACTTGCAGTATGTATGATTTCTCTACAACAATAATTAAGTTTTCTTATCACAATTACCCAGATCCAATTTCCATTTTTAAAACCCTATTTTGGCGTCGGGTTATCCGTACTGAAAAGCCTTGTCCTTCCTTTTTTCCTTCTTTTGTTATAAAATTATTAGATTTAAGATTAAATTCACCTTAAATGGCATATAAAAGGATGAAACAAAATGTTATAATATAGTCGCAAGGTACCGAATACGAAAATCCACCCAAATAACCATTTTGACCGTGTACTAAAATTACTGTTTATCTATACAGAAAAATGATCTACCAACAATGGTCGTGCTTCCGTTGGAACGAATTCTAATCACTGCGCATGATCGTTCGATGGCGGTTTGGAACATACATATTAGCTTTGTTCAAAAACCGGTTTAGAACTGTAAATTCCTGTCGCTCAACTGAATTTTGTCAGGCAAAAAACACTCGTTCTATGAAAAAATCAGTTAGTAACGGGAATTTACAGTTCCAAAGCGGTTTCTCACTGCGCTTGGAACAAAACTAATAAAACTGTTTCCAGGGAGCTCTGGCAACACCGCCCGCTCGCGTAGCCGCTTCGTCCCATCGGATGTGGTCAGAGCCTGATTTTTTACGACCGATGGCAATCAAATGGTTGCTTAAACCCGGGATTGGTTCGTTGAAACGGAGCGGTTTTCCGTAACGTAACCCGGAGCATTTAGCGATCGAAAGCATGGACGAAAAATCACCGTGTCTGTTAAA